TCATGAGTCCAGTCAAGTCTCATCTGATCTGCCAGAGCCTCGTCACATCTCAGCCGTTCATCCAGAGCCTCGTCAAGTCTCAGCTGTTCGTCCAGAGTCACGTCGTCTTGCGTGTTGGTGGCGCCCAGCAACGCACTTTCAGCCTGTCCTGTTCCAGCCAAGGAGGCCGCCTATGAACTCTCTGCCTGTTCTGTTCTGGCCAAGGAGTCTGTCTATGAACTCGCTGCTTCATCCAGAGAGGCCTTTTGCGAACTCCCTGCTCATCCTGTCACAGCTATAGAGGCCGTTTGAGAACTCCCTGCTCGTCCTGTCATGGTTATAAAGGCCGTTTGTGAACTCCCTGCTTGTCCTATCATGGTTATGGAGGCCGTTTGTGAATACTTTGCTTGCTTTGTTTCGGCCCAGGACGTCGTTTGTGAACTGTTGTCCTGTCCCGACCCAGCCAAGGAGGCTGCCTCTGAATGCTCAGCCTTGTCTATCAACCCCAATGTTCTGTCTGTGTTGTCTGTCTCTGCTCTCTCGTTGTTACAGTCTCCGCCATGGTCTCCTGATCGGTGTGGTTCACCAGAGGGGTTTCCTGTTCCTTCTGCTTCGCCGTGGGGGTTTACTGTCTGGCTCTGGTGGTCCTCTGCTCTGCCGTGGTGGTCTTCTGCTCTGCCTGCTCTGCCGTGGTGGTCTGCTGTCTGGCTCTGGTGGCCTTCTGCTCCGCCGTGGTGGTCTACTGTCTGGCTCTGGTGGTCTTCTGCTCCGCCATGGGGATCTTCGGTCCCGTCTGCTCTGCTGTGGTGGTCCTCAGCTCCCCCTGTACTGCCGGCTCCACCCTGGCTCCCTGCTCCTCTGGCTCTGCCTCCGTCCCTGGTCTCTCCTATCCTTGGATCTGGCACTCCGTCCCTCCCCCTGTTCCGCCTCCACTCCACTGCCCACCTGGATATGAACTTCCGTCTGCTTACCATCAGAGGTCACCCTTTCCATTACAAAAAGACATTGACTCTCGCACTACACAAACTGTTGCATATCATCCCGGACTACATATACCAGCATTCATTGCACTGATTGCACACAACACTGATTGCACACAGCATTGATTGTACACAGCTGTTTCATATTACTCACTCATTATTTAACACTCACTCAAACAACCATTCTCTGCCGAGTATTGTATGCGCTTATCGCAAGCAGTGATAGCTACTTTACAGAGCCCTCGTTAGTTTCCCAGCCTAGCCTAGTCTTGCCTTGTCTGTGTTCCTGGTTTCTGATCTTTGCCTGTTTTCCTGGACTTATCCCCTCTAGTCTCGCCCTTTTGATTCTGTTCGCTGATTGTTGACCTACGCTAGCCCTAGGATTATTCTTGTGTCTTGCCCGCCATATACCTGTTTGCCATTGTTCGACCCTGCCTGTGTTTCTGACCTCTTCTGCTTTAATAAAAGTTTGCACATGGATCCGCACGTCTCACGTCTTGTCAGCCCCGTTACAGTCCTAGGCTTTTTTGCGCTGATGGCCTGCACTGCAGCAGAGTCGGAGCGGAACTCCTGTCGGACAACGTCTTCAGGACGCTACACTCCATATGACTAGTAAGCCAATTCTCAAATAACTGCTTTTGTTCTACCCACTTAAATGATAGAAGTACTTGCGCTGTCCAATCTATAAAGGTTGTGCATGTTCCCCGAATAGTGAGGT